ATTGCCAGTCAATTCATAGTTTTTTTTTTTAATCCATATATTTTACTTTTGTCGCTCAAAATTTATTTATTTTATTTAAAACTATTTCATATTCTATTTTTGCCAACCATGTGCTGTTGACGTTCTCTTTTGCAGATTTAAATATTACCAGTCAGCTTATAACTTTTTTTTAACTTATATTTAACTTTTGTCACGCAAAATTTATTTTATATAAAAATGTTTTATATTCTATTTGTGCCAAAATTGAAGGCATTATTATCGTCAACGGCCATACCACGTTTTAATGCACCAGTTCTCGTCCGATCACTGAAGTTAAGAAACGTTGGGCGTAGTCAGTACCAGGATGGGAGACCGCCCGGGAACACTGTGTGCTGTTGACGTTCTCTTTTGCAGATTTTAATATTACCAGTCAGCTTATAACTCTCTTTTAACTTATATTTAACTTTTGTCACGCAAAATTTATTTTATATAAAATGTTTATATTCTATTTGTGCCAAAATTGAAGGCATTATTATCGTCAACGGCCATACCACGTTTTAATGCACCAGTTCTCGTCCGATCACTGAAGTTAAGAAACGTTGGGCGTAGTCAGTACCAGGATGGGAGACCGCCCGGGAACACTGTGTGCTGTTGACGTTCTCTTTTGCAGATTTAAACATTGCCAGTCAATTCATAGTTTTTTTTTTAATCCATATTTTACTTTTGTCGCTCAAAATTTATTTATTTTATTTAAAACTATTTCATATTCTATTTTTGCCAACCATGTGCTGTTGACGTTCTCTTGTGCAGATTTAAATATTGCCAGTCAGTTTATTACCGACAATAACCGTAATGTATAGTGATAAAAATATCTGTTTTTTGTTTTGACGTTTTATTATTTATTGTATTATTATGTTAACAATAATTTTGGCTTGATTCAAGACTGGTACTCTGCTGGTACATCAGAAATTGCGGTTGCCAGTCTCCCGCTTGCCGTGTACCGTCCTCTCACGACGGCACCAACAACCAACCGGTGGGTAAACCAAACTCGGAGACATGAATGCCCGCATCATGTATATACACCGCGTTCCGACGAAGAGGGAATGGCTACTACGGCCGACTTCTATCCCCACCAGAATGCCGAACACCTGAGCGTCCCTGGGAGCAGCTCGGCCGTCGCAGTCATTATTGCGCCAGTCTAACACCCGCCAGCGATCTTCTTCGTCGCGACCGTGCCAAAATCTTTTCCGGACGATTTTCCGAGACTTGCTTTGCGAGACCGACGCGCCAACCCAAGGGCGTGCGTACATGCGAGAGAAGAGAACAACCTCGTGGCAAGTCTCGTGGCCACCTCGCAAACGCGCCTGACTATCGCGTCACGGTACCCCGGCGGATACGATGAGACTCTTCTCGGGGAACGAGGAAAATGTGACGTGACAGACTGGCCTTCGGCGGGTCCTTCGGCGAGTGTGACACGTTCTGCGACGCAATCAGTTCCCGGGTCATCTTACAAAAATGACTATTACGATGAGGAGGTTTTTGTCGACGGCAGCGGTGTGTTGCTGGCTTCTGCTGGCGCTCGATATTAGCAAGGTAAGCGCGAAGAGAAACTGTTATCCCAAGATTGCACGAATTCCACCGTTTCAAACGCACTAGCGAGCGCGCCGGAAACCGCGCGTTTATATGCGGATGTGCCGTTGAGCAGTTCCGCGGGAAACTGAGAATTATTGAGGAACTCGGGTTCAAAAATGATTTTCTTAAGCACTGGAGTATGAGAAAAATTTTGTTTCCGTAAAGATAAATTTATATTTCACATTAAAAAATTATTTTAAAGTGTTTAAAATATAACGTATTTATGAAAATACATTATACAAAATTGAGTACTTTTTTTTTGCATTTTATTTAATGACTGTTTAATATATTTGATCTCGTATTTCTTATCTCAAGTTTTTAATTATTGTTACAGAGAATCAAAATATTATTAGTATTTCAACATAATCTTAACTATGAAAAAGATTTCAATACTTAAATTATATTATCATATTATATTATATTATTAATCATATAATGAATTAAAATTTGATTAAAATAATTGTTGATATTTAATTTAAAAATTTCTAGAGAGAGAATAGAAAATTTAAGTATAATAAAAACCTTCCAAGTTTTCTTTTTATCTATAATTTTTTTACCAACTTAAAATGAATTTATTTCGTGTAGAAATTTTGTTTGATCTTATTGTATATATTATTACACATCTTGATATTTTACATTTAAATTAAGATCTTGTTAAAATAATGTTTTAATTTCAAGTTAAGAACAAAGTATATTCAAGTTTATAATTTAAAATCTCATGTCTTTTAATCTGCATGAAGAAAAATTACCTGCAAGTTATGCAAATTATTTCTAAATAGGAAATGGGATAAATTTGTTGAATAATTTCTGTATAAATCTCGAGTCCAGAAAAAGTTCATTATTTTATTTTTTTCGAGATAGTGCGTTTACCATATCCTTTATCGCGCATTGAAAAGAGCAATATTAATAAGGAATCAAAGAGCGATGAATAAATATCATATATGAATGGGGTGGGAAGGAATACATATTAATTTGATGCATACATATTAATTAATTAATTCAACGAAAATGAAGACCTTTTGATTACAAATAAACGAATACTGCCGATAATATAAGCGCGCGTCAACTTATTAAGTGGCTGAAGAAGAATTTAAGAAAATCATTTGATGATTTGATAAACTCATATCAACTTGTTATTTATCTTCCTCTTGTTTGCTCACTTTGCTAATGTGGATAATATTCAGCGCTACGGTAGAACGGAGGAGAAAATCATAAATGCATAAATCATCAAACAAAAACGGCATTCTGCAACGCTACGCTATGCCGACTCAAATTACATGCAACTGCGACTTATCAGCAATGAATATGCAAAATCAATTTATATTTTTCGCGTAAATGCATATATTATTCATAAACCATAAAGATATATTGCTTACAAAGAAGAATACATTGGTAGAAATTATATTAATGCGCTTGTTGCAAACAATATTGAAGTATTTTCTTTTTTTTTTTTCAAATTCTTATTTTCAAATACGTATTTGTTATTTCCTATTTTCATTTTTGTCATAGTAATATGCGTATATTGATAAAAAATTAATGAATTGGGATTAATTTAAAAATAGTTCGTTGTTTTACTTCTATAGTTTTACTTATTTGTATTCAGCAGAAGGAAGGAAGGAAGAAATGAGAATTGAACACTCATAACTACTTGCAGACGTCAGGTTCTTCGGCGATTTCCATCGCGTGCGATTCTATCGCAAGCGAATCTCTCTGCTTAATGTATATATTTATGGCTATACTATACCCTAACTTATTACATACAGCATTAGTGAGATTACTAATTACTTCCCGCAATCTTTACGCGAATGTTATGCGACTTGACCATTACGGGATTAACCGAATAATACATATTATACTCTACAGTTATTCTCTTTCTTGCAATTCAGTCATTCCCATTATTTCTTCCCATTTCCTTCCTTTTGTTTCTTATTTTACATTAATATTTCTCAAATTATCCGATCGAGCATTTCACTCATTGAGGATTTGCAAGTTGCAATCGAAGTAATAAATTTTTCTTGTCTTTTCGACCAATTGAAGTTACATGTTTCCGAAGGCTGAACAAGCCAACGGTAATGGATGCAAACTAGTTTCTCGATTTCATCGTCGTGCAACAAAAATGTCGCGACAAGAAAAGTCGCGATAACGTGAAAGTATACCTAACGTTTGAAAGCGACGGAAGTCGAGTTTATCAACACAAAAGAAACTTTTAAAAGTAGATATTTATTTTTTAGGACAAAAGTATCATCTCTGCTATTTTTGTTTGGATCTAATAAATTATACAATATAAACAATTTTTAAAAGACTAATTAAAAAAATATAAATTTTGCATTCCACATTACACGATATTTATTACATACTTTTTTTATAGTTTTTTTTTATAGTTATACAATTTAAAAACTACTTCCTTATTTTTTTGCCGCAAGCAGCAGCGCGGCAAAAGGTTAATGCTCCGCATGAAGCGCTTCTTTTACTCGGTCCGAAATGTATCGTGGGACGAAAAAAAATTTCCAGACCTTCGAAGTCCCGCCTATTACGAGAAGGAATGCACCGGATCCGCGAGCACACGTGCAAGCGTGTGCGTGCGTACGGGTGTGCAAACACGTGCGACCGCCTGCCTCAGCGCGCCGCGCGGTCCAGCTGTATATAGTTAATCAAAAAATCTAATTAACGAGAAGCTGCTGCCGCTTCATGGGCGGTATCCGCATTGTTTATCGCGCATCCCACTGATTATCATTTGTTATCACTAACGTTGCGCGACCTGTAAGTAGACCTTAGCCCTGGTGCGCGACTTTACCACTGAGATTCCATTTCACTCAAACGGAGATATAAATCAAGTGTTGTACGTTTTAGCGCTGCGCCATATGCCGCGCGTTTATTCCGCTCGCTCGATATCTTCTTAACATATTTTTGCATGAAGCAGCAAATTTAATATTCCACCGAGCAACCCGCAGGTTAGGCTAATAAGCCGAAGTCATCTCTTCTCCGAAGCGCACCAGTCTGGAACTGTTAATTAGTTGATTTCACTTCGGCAAATGTATGCCTCGCTTGCAGCTTGCACTGATACGTTGCGGTGTCTCTTTTTATTTTTTAAAATATTTTTTACAATTTTCAATTTAATTAAATATTTGCATTTTAATACAACTCAAATAATTGAATGATGCGATCAGCTTTACTTTGTCATCTCACATAAATTTCCTGACTTCGCAAAGCAAAGTTTTTTTTTTAATTCCACCTTATAAATAATAATTAAGTTTGTGCGACGTAAATAATAATATATATAATATTTATTACACTGCTTGCATTGACAAACGAAGGATAGTCGCGTGTAGGCCCGACGGGAATTTTAATTGCAAAAGAGCGCGCTTCGAGAAAGATGCCCGCGAATTAATTGAGAATACGTGTACGCGCGAATTTCCCCTTTCCGATGCGTGCCTTTGTAATAGTCGAGGACATCGGGTTCCGATCGTAGGCGGTTTTATTGAGCGCACGGCCTTACCGTATAGCTACTTAGGCTACGATATTAATATTGATGAGGTCTCCTATGGCGCTGAGATAGCATGTCCTAAATAAAGTGACGCGGGAAAGTGATAAATTCGGGTCTATTATGTAACTGGCCGCGGGCATACTTTTGTATCGGCTTATATAAGTCAAGCTGCGTCGTGTTGGAGAGAACGAAAGAAATATTCTTCGCCAGCGAGCGTTCAATGGTGCATTATGCTAACTCATTATCCATGCATGCGCAATCGCTATCGATTGTAAATCAAGCTGCGGGTAAAAGGAATTTCTGACAACCTATAGACGACTCTTCGTTGCGTATAACTAATCGAATGAGAAAGGTGTTATTCTATATTTAAGAGACAAAGAGAGAGTGTCGTGCAAACGCCAAGCTCGTTACATTCATTCGTGCATGAATTCTTAATTGATGTCTTCATTAATCTTTTATAAATTGTCAGTCAAAAAAATTGGAATAGAAAAGTGGAAAACTCACTTATATTATTGTATTGTATATCAATTTCCATTGCGATAAATCTGAATTTGTTTTTAGATTAAATGCCATGTTTTTATGAAAAATATTTATTATATAAAAAAATTAATGTAAAATTATAATTATTATAGTAAATAATTTTGGAACCAATTATTAAAGAAATAAATATTTCCATACGTATATAAATTTACATAGATTGCACAAATAAATTTGAAATTATTTTATACATATTTGCTTTATTACAACACTAGAGAAATTAATGTTATATTTGCCGGATGTAAATTTACATACGTATGAATATTAACACCTACAATAATTGATTTTCAAAATTACTCACGATAATAGTTGTAATTCTACATTAATCTTTTCGCACAGTGCACGCTATATTATAAGAATCTTAATCATTAGCATATGCCTCGCCGTTGTCAACTTTCTGTTAGTATCGAAACCTGACCTCTGACATTGTAAAATCGCTACATTGCGACAGTGATTTTCACTTTTTTCTCGTGTCACGCGAGCAAGATAGAATTTAGCGATTGTAACGTGCGTGTGCAACGTCGGATGATCTAGTCAGAAATGTGCTCGTCAATGACGGCGTACGGCAAAACGTGCAAGGTAAAATCAACCTAGATCATTTAATTCACGTTCACCTTGCACACATGTCTGCGGTTTCATCATGTAACTTGCCGTGTCCCCGAGAACGTGCACCGATCACGCATGGAGGATCTTTCCCCGCGTTCTGCCTCTTACATCGCACGCGATTGCGAGAGTTTTAATCCTTTGATTGCTATCAAGCGCCTTTAGGCGTTCCACGAAAGTGTACACCGTGTACTACTATTGAACATGACGTCTTTAAGCACTCTTCAATAAGATATATTGATGAAAGAAGATTATTTTATTCGCAATAATAAGACAATTATGTTTAGCGGTTCTTTCGAATTCAGAAACGATCCGTGCGCATCGTAAAGGAATGAGC